GCCTATTATCCCACACCCCTGTCCCAACTTTTCACACTTGCTGTCTGGTCACCCTAGAGCAGAGTACAGATCACAAAACCTAGCAGTGATTTTGCACCTACTGTTTTCTAGTGGCCTTGAGTGTGGATTTTATTGAACCTATATACATAAACAGCATGTTTAAAGGCAGAAATCATTGAATTTGTTGTTTAAATCTGTAGAGCAATGATTTGGATAGACTGAAATAAAATAATAATTAAATCCTAAAAGGAGTAAGAGCTGTCTGGTGGGTGGGTGAATATTTTTGTTCTTGAAAAACAAAAACTTGTTTAAGTGCCAGTTAAAGTTGCTTACTGCTAATTAAACTTGGTTATATTCCTATGTATGTAGCGATAGCAGTTGCCAACATCTGAATCTTATACACATAATCTGATTTAATGTGTTACAGACATAACACAGTTGAGTATTACTACATTACTAGTAACTTTCATATTTCTGCCATATTTCACAAGCGGTGTTGGTCCTGGGACCGACATGGCTACAACAACACTGCATGTTTCATGATCACTCATATGATGCATTCCAGGTGCCTTTTGCTATTTCTTCAGTCCCCATTTTTTTTAAATGTTCCACTTTTGCTAACCCCAAACTAGTCCAGATCTTCAGGGTAGCAAGGAAACTGAGAACATGTTTCCAACAATACTTGTTTTACAAGCAATTTTATTCCAGAATTTAATAGTAATCAGAGGTATCCTTTAATGTGTTCAAAACCTGGAACGCACATAACTGCTGACTGATTGTGGCCCATTTGCATGATTTTCCAGTTGGAAACTCTAGAAATAATTTCTCTTGGAAGAAATATCTTGTGAATGCAGTAAAGATGATTTACAGGAGTTGTTTTACCCCTTACCAAAAAGAAACAACAGCCAAAAACTTCCACATGTTTATTAACAAGATCCAAAAAGGGTTACAATCGAGGAAACACTTTGAACCATAACTCTCAACCTCCTAAGCACCAAAGGGCAATTAGGCTCCCAGCTCCCATTGAAAGTCATTGGGATTGGATCCCTAACTCTCATTTGTGCTATTGAAAATCTGCTGCCTCCAAGTACGTAGCTGGAACCACCAGCTCTGTGCATTTTCTTTTTGAAAAAAAAAAAAACTCGCAACATCCTCAGAAAACAAGGTGGAACTGAAGGAGTCGAGTCAAGCATTTACTGATCTTTATTTACAGAAGCAAAAGGCATCAATATGCCAATACATAGCTGGGACTGCCAATATGTGTAGCAAAGGGACAACATTCAGACATCATTTTTGCCATGTCTACATGCTGTTATGCAATGTCCTCACTGCTATAAAAATACATTAACCAAAATACATTTGGATCTGTTATTACTTGTTGTTATTATTTAGTAAAATACTGAATATACATTAATTTTATTCACTTCATCAAATAGCTCAAAATTGGGATTGTGAATGTCCTTTCCTTTTCCAAGGCATTCACAGCTTCTCTCTACTGACGGCTTCTTTTCTTTTCCTATCGCTCCCTTTGTTGTTTCTTCCACCCTCTCTACAGCTTTCATGTCCCAGGGAGAAGGAGCCCGTGCTCATTACTACTGCTTGGAAGTAACTGGCTGCAGTCACTAACCAACCTTGAGAGTGGGCACTTTCAGTTTTCCACCTAACCATGGAGTGTCCTGTAAAATTAAAAGTACCTGAAAGATCTCTTCTAACTCTCATTACAGGGAAAGGTAACTCTTTCAAATGAACACAGCTCCACATAGCTTCTAGCTATGATTCTATTATTTAATTATTATCAGAATAAAATAAATGAACTCAACAGGAATAAAGGTTATTTCTTACCTGTAATACATTCAGGGGCAAATCCTCAGCTGGACTAAACCATCCTAGCTCCATTTTGTTTAAATCCCTGAAGCTGTGACAGTTTACACCAGCTGTGTTCTTTTCACAATTCAATCCCTACTCTCAGTCAAGGCTGTGAATGTAATGCTCAGAATGCAAATCCCAGAGCCGCTAAACTGCCTCAAAGCATTAAGACTTCCTTAAACAAATTAGTTGTAGGTGTAATTAGTTTGTTGTTTTTTAGTCAATATCACAATTAAGAACTATTAGACTTCGCCAGATTGTGAACCTCTGACTTCCATTGGTGAGGAGTTACTCATATGAGAAGTCCCATTGATTTTAATGATCAGACAGAGTTTATATATCTGGGGTGAACTCACTCAGTTCAGTGTCAAAGCTCCCATTAATTTCACTGGAGCCAGAATTTCCCACCTGGTATATAAACTGCTGTTACTATGTACAAACTGATAAACATATCCGTTTTAGCAAGATGTCTTGTTGACAGGGTTTGGTGTTCTCCTTTATGTGTTCCTGTTGGTATGAAAGAATGGTTAAAAATTAACATAAACAGAAGATATTTTCAGTTGTTCAATATAAAGAACTGCCTTTTCCTCTATACTTAGACTCTCGTTTGTTTACATAGCGCGTCGTTTTCAAAGTCTCCTTCTACCCTAGAATCTTGAGGCAGTTCAAATTGAAGGACTATGTCTCCAGGATGGTAGATTTCTGAGGAAGTGCTAGTAAAAGTAAAACAATGTGTGGGCTATATAGGTAAGGCATATGCAGTAGGATTAATGATTACAGGTCTATTCAAATGAGAGTTTGTAATTATGTTAAGAATTACAGAAAGGACCTTTTCTTCCATTAGAGATGTTTTCATTTTTTCCTGGGCAAATTTTACAAGCCTTTTATGGAAGGTATTTTCCAAACACTGTCAATAGACTACTTTAAGCTCTGCACTGGACAGAGATGTCTGCTTACCCTTATGCCTTTTCCCCTCCATTTGTTAAGTAAGACTCCATTTTCTTTAAAAAGAAAAAAATAAAGAGTTCAGAAAGAGCCCAAAAGCTTTAACAACAGACTCAAGAGTAGAAATGTCAATCATCCAAGTTTTTTGAAACTGGGAGGATACTCTGTAATTTTCAATTACATATCCATTTTAGAGAGATTCAGGAAAAAGGCAGCGAAATTCCACTGAACAACATATATATGTATAAAATTTAAAAATAATCATGTGAGTGGCATCATTTAGCCATATGGTTTCAGATATTGTAGCTGCTTACCTTCCATTATCTCTTCTGACATCTGTCTCTCTGCCTGTATATGCACCCTTGCCCCTCAACATCCCATCTCATTATGGTCGTATCTAAAATGGACATCAAAACCTATCAATATAATGTTTTGAAATAAAATAAAACCCTAAAAAATAAACCAATTTATTTATGTTATCCATTGCCTTAGTACCTGTCGCCAAGAGTATGAAATACTGTTTTGGGGGAAATTGCAGCTTTAATTAAAATTTGGCCAAGCGGACTACAGAAAAACAGCACCTGCTAAATAAGATGAACAAAAAGAAAAAAAAAGCTAAGGCTGCGCTCCACTATTAATACCCAATGGGAAATATCAGGATAGTAATCAAAGAGTTGTCCTGTTTTAACTGCATGTTGGAAAACAGGCCTCGCTCTAAATTTCTTTGTTTTCTGCATTTAGGCCTCAATTCAGCAAAGGTACTTAGGGACCAGCCTAATGGTAGGCATTTGAAGTGAATTGGGCTACACGCAGGCTTACTTAAAGTTAAGCACATCGTTAAATACCTTACTGAATCAGGGCCTAGAGTTACAACGATGCTAAATGCTACAAAGATGTAGCATTTTATGTTTTATTTTATTTATTTAGATGTTTTATTTAATTGTTAATTTATTGTGAATGTTGTGGTGGCGGTGTGTTACATGGTGTTGGGGTGAGATTTTTGAAAAGTACTCAGCATTGGCCTAACCCTGCACCTGTTGAGTGTTACCATTGGCTTCAATGGGAGCCGACTGAGGCCACTGAGAATGGACTAGTTCCAAAAGGACATATCTTTTATTAGTGGAACACATCTGCTTAGAACCCCTCCATATAGATCTTTTGTTACAGCCTGTACAATACTGGTGGAAAATAGTAGGAGAGAGTCACAAGAGAGCTATTTTCTTTAAAAAAGATCTGATCCTATGTCTTACTCAGCCAAAACTCCCCATGACTTCAATGGGTGTTCCATTCCTAGCAAGCTAAGGAGGAAATTAGGATTACCCACATCCAATAGTATTTTTGTTTTGCCCGGGTTTGACTCACTCAGGCTGCGCTCCAGTGACATTGAGGATATTCTTTGATGAATTTATACTTTCCTAAAAATTTGTGGCTAGGACTAAAGCACTAGGAAAGCAATTAGCACCGCTAGTTATATGTTCATAGAGCACCTGGCACAATGAGGCCCAGCCTAGTAGTGGCATTTAGGTGCTACTGTAACGCCAACAGACCCTGGTCGTCGGCGGGCAGGATCAAACCTGGGACCTCTGGAGCTAAATGCATGAGCCTCTACTGCATGAGCTAAAAGCCGTATGGCTGTAGAGCAGACTCATTAATCTCTCTCTAAGTGGTCTCGGTGCCACTAAATGGGACAGAACACCACACCCAGGAGGTGTGTGGCTTACAGTACCACAACATAAAAGTTAAATAATAATTAAATAATATTTCCCCTTCTTCCAACATCCCTTGATTGCATCTGGATCTGAGTACAGGGGGTGCCTCCACACAGGCCACAATCTAGCCCCAACTGCAAACTGTCAGCAGAAGCTACTACCAGAGATGTCTGCTCAACAGAGAAAATGATATATTAGGAAAAGCTCTGTAATGCTCTGGTGAGACTACCAGGAGGGGGAAGGTTAGGAATTCGTATTAATTATCTGCCCCTGAAGTCCTATGGGCTAGGCTGTACCACACTTACTCACATGGATGAACTCTGACTCACACAAACAGTCCTCTCCAAACCACTGGGTCTACTCTTGTGAGTGGCTCACCAGGTTGAAAAAGGGCTCCACAATCTGCCCTTTGTTGGCAGGTGCAAAAACATGAAGCAGCACGGGCATCATACAAATAAAATCATTTGTTTTTTCATGTAGGGACCCATTGGTTTACCTGGAGAAATTGGACCAGCTGGAATACCTGGTGAAAAGGTAACTTCTAACACCTCAGTCAGTTCAGTCTGAGAATGTGACATGACTAGTATTTGTTTCAATTGGGTGGCCATTTTTCACTTCACTGTGGAGAGAGAGATAAAAACAGAACACTATTATTTGGCAATAAGCATTAGTAACATTTCTGTGCCAGTTTTTAAATGAAGCTAAGTCAATAAATGAACGTAGTTACAGTTTCCTCTCCTATATGGCACCCAGATGTGTTTGTGAATGTAATGGTTGGCAGTGTTAATATTATTAGCATAATGTAAGTCTAAGACTATTAGACAAGTTCTACTTTAACAAAAAGATAAAAACAGGAAGCTATTACCTGACTGTCAGTTTCAATTACAATAAACACATAATTATTTGTCAGAATGATCTAACACCATTCAACCCCTGCAGGGTTGAATTAGTTCACCTATTTTGATGACTGGAATTCAAAAGAATGCTATTGACAAAATCTTACTCTATGAATTTATTATTACTTCCATGAAAATATGGTGATATTTTTACTGTTGGTTTATATTACAAGGAAAAGGAAATACATGAAATGAAACCACTGGTTGTCAAATCTTAAATATGGATAAGTCTGATAAGGCTTTAATCATAACTGCATGCCTAGAATACAGTATTGAAGGAGATCTTGTCATTTTGTTTGCTCTTCATGTACTTACAAAGTTACTTCAGTTGCTGGTTTAAAATAGGAGAGGAAATGTAGCAAACCTACCAACAAATGGAAGCAAACTGCTTATGACGGAGTGACAGTTTCCATGACTACACTGGATATTTGTCTCTTCATGATTAGTGGTGTGCTGTAATGTGATGTACCAGGTGCCTCTCTGTAACATAAAGGAATGATTTGTTATTTTTAAGAGCTGTATTTTAGCAGCCGATATTAATCCTCAGCCAGGCCTAGTAGCTGGGTCGGATGTTATTGAGATAGAAGAGGAGTGAGGATATGAGAGGTGAGGAAAACCCTCCTCCTCCCCTAGCCAGGGAGCTAGACAAATGGCAGTGGCAGCTGATGCTGAGGTGGGGCTTGACTTGCCCATATGTACGTGTTATTAAAAAAATGAGGGAAATGTGAAGTTTTTTTTCTCTTGTTTATTTGTTACGGTTATAGATAACTCATGGATGCATAAAGAATGTAGGTAGCTGTGAATGTGACGCACCCCAATGCCAGGCACGTCCCTGCTGCCGGTGGGTTGCATAGCCCAGTTCACTTTCTGAATCTCTTTCCTGTAAGCCTCCTAGTAAAATGGAAGGGAAAGAGTAACTTGTAGTTTGATTTTATTTTCAAAACGAAAAACTGGGACATTGTGGTTGCATTTGGGGGATCACAGGAAGGTGTTATGCTGGGGAAATAAGAGAGGTTGGTGGGGAAATGGGGGGGAAAAAGAGGTGCCCTCTCCCACTTCCCTTTGAGGAAATGGGACACTTTATAGTAAAGGGTATAGTGGGAGAAAAACATATTTATTCCTCTATTGCCCCTTCGCTGTTGTCTCCTAATCTCAACCTCTCCCCTTCTAATCTAGCACTCTCCTTCTATCTCCCCACTACTGACTTGTCCCCCTTTTGTACACCTGTTCACCTACTTCCCCATTCATCAGTTGACTTCATTTCCACCTGAACTCAAACCTGCCCACACAGCATCCTCTGACCTCAGAAAGTTCCTTGGCCGCCTCCTCTTTCTCCAGCCAAACCCCCACGTGGTCAAAAACACCTCACACGTGCGTGCGTGTGAACGCACATGTCTCCCTCCAGGCTGGTAACCCCTTTTCTTCCTACCTAATCTCTCTAGAGCTCAGAATCACTCTCCTTAGTTCAGAGGATCACACACACAACCCTTCAGGTTCATGAAACCAACTTGCAGGCTCTGAGTGTTTTACCTACCTAATATCCACCATGAGCAGCAGGCTCAGAAGTTTAAACCCTCCCCTTCCTACTTGGTGCTAAATCTAAAACAATAGGAGTAGTAGCAGTAAAGAGCATGTACCTGTGCTTTGAAATAGCCCCACAGAAGCCTGATCTCTGCTTCTGCCCTCCTCTACCTGCAGCACATGTGTTACAGGGACTCCGGGCCACAGTAAGAAATCCTCACTGTGGAAAGAGAACTGTGCCAGTGAAATAACACACCATAAATTTGTTTCTTCTCTTTTTCTAAATTGTTTGTTAAAGGGAGAGCGGGGCAGTCCAGGACCAGTGGGCCCTCCTGGGGAGAAAGGTGTCATGGTAAGCAGTAAATGAGGTACAAGTCAGCTTTATTTTACTTGCAAAGGAACTGTTCCTTCCCAAAAACCTAATTCATTTTGGCCATGCCAATAGCAAAAAGCGTTATGGAAAAGTAAAGCATTTGCGATATATTATTTCTAGGAAAGTTTCCATTTAGTAGCTTGCTAAGTACTTTGCAGACTAAAGCAGCATGCAGTGAATATGAATTACCCACTTTTTAAAAAAATGGCTCTCATCAGATTTATGTGCAGGATTGAAGCCCAGTGAATTAGCAAGCATGACAAAAAAGAAGGAAAAGTAAACTTCATAGTCTGCAGATTGTTTGCTGAGAAACTACTTTCTAAGACTAAGGGCTGGATTCACAGATGTTGTAATGCCTGACTTTTAGATGCTCTGATGCCTTGTAGAATTCACAACCCTAAGGTAGGTGTCCAGGCTTTCTGTACAATGTGTGGGGAGAATTAGGCACCTGAAAAAGGGATTCACAGAAGCCAGCAAGCTGAGCAGGGAGCTGCCTTTGCTAGCCAATAGGAAATGCCAAGGAGAGGGGGTATTTGAGGGACTTTGAGGCTATGACTACACTATACACATAACTGGCAGCGGCATGTAGTGTACATGTAGCTACCTCCCTCAGTGAAAAACACACCACATCCCCATTGTGGTATGTAGCTACATATGTCAGTGAACGGCTCTGACAGAGGGGAGGCAACATTGAAAGGTTCCAGCAGCTCCCCGCAGCCAGAGTCTTTCCCTGCAACAGGGAGCTGCTGGAGCCTTTTCCTGGCTGCCAAAGTGGAGAAAAGCTCCAGCAGCAGGGAGGTAGTGGGACGCTACACTGCTAAAAATAGGAGTGTAGGCAGAGAGGCATGGCTTGGGCGAAGAGAGAGCTGTTAGGGGCTGTACTTGTTTACATACTCACCCCCATCCGGCATGTCTTAACTCACCTAAGCTGCGCCTCACCATCTACCCTGCTATTTGTACCAGTGCTAGGGAGGTTACATGGGGATGGACAGCATGCTGATGAAAGAAGTGTGCAGCAAGTCACACCCTGAGAGAGGCACCTATTTCCACTTGGGATTCAGAGCCAGGGATCCTCTCCTGGAGTTGGGAGCCTATACTGGGTCTACTGGTGGTTACATTGTTACATGATGTTTCCCTCTCTCCTTTTAATGTTCTTTTTCTAACAAGACCAAACTCTTGTTGCTCAGAGCAGCATTATTATATTTAATGAGAGCTGCTGTGGGAGGTCATGAGCAGGAGGGAGAGGCAGTCTCTCAGGTAGCTTGGTTCAGTTCCAGGGATGGGTTTGAATAGCAAGACCGGGGGCCTTGAAGCTAGCTCTTTTTATTCAGTAAGGAAGCCAGTGCACAGAGTAGAGCCCCGGGGTGTGGGTGGGCTGATGTATTTTGTATCGATTGACCTAGTAGGGTGATGCATTTGGTACCAGGTTTTTCAGGGTGTATGACTTCATTCCTAGATGTAGTGAATTGCAGTAGTCAAGCTGGAGATCACAAACGCACAGATCACTAGGCCTGAGACTGATAGGGTGTGATGTTTTCTGGCCAACTGCAAATAGAATGGACATTTTTTTGCAGCAGTTGCTCTTTAGGTGTGTATTAGCAGAGAAGAGTCCGAACGGACCCCTGGGCTCCAGATCAGTTTACCAGTCTGTAGAAGGAGATGATATTCTTTGACGCACTTCATGCTTCCTACCAACATTAAATCTGTCTTGACTGGGTTCACCTTCTATCTGCCACTTTACACTCAGGAACAGATCTGCCAGGAACTGAATAAACGAGGATTTATTAGTATAGGACACAATCCTGTTAACACTTTACTATCAGCCATAGTGCATACTACTGTGAGTAGTCTCACTAAAGTCATGGTAGAAAGTTCTATGCCAGGTGGTAAGTGTTTGCAGTAAATGCAACATGCCATGACATTGTAGACCAGAGCTGGAGTTCGCAATCTTGTGTGGGCCTGCAAAATAATTTTTCCTCGCCAGTCCTGTTCCCACAAAATACCACTGACACTTGTCTACCATGACCACCTGTTCACACCACTTCACTCAGTCCTGGTTGGAGGATAATGGATGGTAAGCAAGTTCTTTGGGTTTGGGACACATCCCAAATTTAAATGACTTCTTTGAAATGTATGTATCCAGTTCTGGATTGTGGCACTGTCAAGTTTTTCTGTTTTGGCTCTGGCAACATATATCCAGCAGAACTATAATTTTGCTGTGTCCGAGGCACTCCCCAAATCAGAGTTGCCAGACTGGATTATCTTTGGGATGGGATGGAAATCTTTTGCCTGTTTTAGAAATTTGAAAATATGGTTTTGTTCATAAAAGCTCTTTTGAGTTGGTGCACATTCATATCTTGTGACCTTGGAGAGTGGATTGCTTCTTTCAAATACTCTGAAGATGTTATAATCAGCTTTGGGGGGGATTATTTTAAATGCCATTACCTGCCAAAATTGCAATTTTGAGTTCAGCAAATGAAGATAAGAATTATTCAATCCCTTTGCTATTTTAGGGCTATGCAGGACCTCCAGGGGGCTTTGGGCCTTTAGGGCCACAAGGATTGCCTGTAAGTATAGACCAACATTTTGATTTAACATAAAATGCACTCTGTTTAAAAATCACTCTTTTATTCTGTTACTGTTAAGGCTATTTGCAGAACTGTCATGAAAATATACCAGCCCAGGCACAAATACTGTTCACCTGCCTTTACCTATATTTTTTACTTACCCAGAGCAAGTAGACAAGTAGAATTTTTTAAGGCTGATTTAAAGTGTAGCCATTTTAATTTTATTTTGCTGATATTTAATTAAAATCCATTAATTGTATGAATGATGTATTTACTATTAATCAAAAACAAATGGAATCTTCCTGATTTGCTTGTGTTACACTCTCCACCATGGGTCACCAGCAGGGATAGTAAATGAGTCTTGTAGCACCCTAAAACACAAGTTTCTACCATTTGAGCCAAAGGACCTGGTCACAGTAGTAGGTTCTTATCATTTATGTGAATAGCCACTAGAGAAAGGCACAGTCCACATTATTTCTTACCCAGCGCAAAGCCAATACTAATGGCACAAAGCCAATACTAAGCATATTTTATTGGACAAGTTGTACTGAAGTAATTTGGTTGATTCTGAGCTTTTAGAAAGAGAGAATGCTTGATTTTTTTTCAGCCTATTGTGAACTATTATAAGAATTTATATAGACCTCTAGTCACTTCTGGAGGTATTTCTGTAGAGGATATTAAATAATGAGTTGATGTAATACTTAGGGTCCTTCAGGGGCAAGAGGACCTCCAGGACCACAGGGAGCTAAAGGACGAAGAGTAAGTAGAATTGTTATTATATTTTACCTAAAGAAATGATGAGCACATGACTTAAAAGGAATCTAGTTTCTAAATCACCTCCAGTTGCTTCTTTTGAACTCTCTGCTAGGTTATAGAATATCGATCATCAATATCGATTCAAGGCATTTTAACTGAAATATGACACACAAGACATGTGCTTCTAGTAAGAAATAAGTCCAAGTTCCAGTTCTGCTCCCATTGAAGTAAGTTTGAGTTTTGCCATTGACTTCAATTGGAAGCAGGATCAGAATCAAAATTATTGCTTGTTTACTTTACCCATCTCTGCTTACAGAAATATATTAATGCAAACCTTCATCCTTGCTGATGGACTGTGTTTCTGTGTTTTATAGACTAAAAATTTTCTTTATCAGCATTCTTTCAATGCCTTCTAATACCAGTGAAGGAAAATTACAATTCCTACTGTATAATTTTAGGAGAGGAAAAACAAAGCTATACATGACACCTAATATCATCATATTCCTGCACCATAAAACTCAGTTTAGACTATTTGCATGTTCCCTATTTTATCAGCAAAATGTGAAAACTTGTATTTTTTTCCTTGTGCACAGTGAACTGATCCAAAGCCCATTTGAGTCAATGGGAGTTTTTCCATTGAGTTAAACAGTTTCAAAGAGAGCAATTAAGCTGTAAGATAATGTGATGATTTGATACATGATCTATGTGAACTCTTCCTCTTAGAAAGCTAGTTAATTACTTATTCTTGTTGGCCTGAGCATTCATCACCTTAGATTTAATTTAATGCTTTGAACCAGGGGGCACTTGATGCCTTACAAAACTGGGTCTTTTATGAGATGAAAAGTAGGGTATCATCTTACTTAGAAGAGAACACTTAAAACAAATTCTTAATGGTCTCTTTTGCCAAAATTCTTGAATCCTTTTCTGTCAAATACTTTTTTGTAACAGGAACTGGAAATAAAAATAGTCCTTCATACAGTTAAATATCTGTTGCATCATTTCCTTCTTTTAAAAAAGACATTTCAATATATAGTTTTTTGATGAAAATGAAAATGTCCATATCCTTTAATCTACAAATATTATAAGGTTGGAGGATTTTTAACTTTTGTTGGATAAAGATAAATACTTAAGAAGCTTACATATATGTCCTAACGCTAGGGTCCTATACAGAAGATTAAGTTTAGTAAACTTGTTTTGCATCATAAAAGTATGTGACCTATATATTCTTTTAAATTTTTCTTTCATTATTATTACTGCCTTATACAATGTTACATAAGATATTTAGAAAAAAGTGTTATTTTATATTTATTTCCAATATATTTGAAATATACTTTATATAGTACTAAGAATATACTACTTTTTCATTAGAGAAAGTTAATATCTTGCCTATAATGTTCTTCTCCCTTCAATTATGGTTTCCTCTTCAAAATAATCTGTTGTAATTTGCTTCTGTTCTGCTAGTACAATACATATGAACCATTTGTGAAATACTGCATATAAAATGTATAATCTCTGCTAAAAGTTAGGAACTAGGGTAATAATAAACCTTATTATGAAGCTGCTTCTAACTGGAAATGCCACGTCAATGTTTTCTTTTCTTTAGGATGAGATATACAGAATAACTTATCCCAGTCTTTTACACTTGATCAAATATGTGAAGCTGAGTTGAAACATGTACGCATATCCACTTTTCATCTAAAAGTGTCTATATTAGCCCTAAGTGCCTGTGCTAACATTAGCTGTTCCTGTATAGTTCTTCTACACATAAAACCATGAGATTGTGATGGACTTTCTAAATCTGGTACATTATAGGTCTGATTCTGCTGGTCTAACTCAAATAAAACTCCTATTTAAGTGGAAGATTTGTCTGAGTTAGGGTTGCAGGATTAAGAAATTAACTTAAAACTTCAACTGCTCACAGACAAAAGCATCTTCAAATCCCACCAAAGAGAATTGCTATAATCCTATGAAAATAGTGTGCTTGCATTCCTACTTCATTAATAACAATGGATTTGGCCTTCTAAAATATTACTTTGTAGATGCAATTTAAAAGGTTGAGGAAATAAAATGTTACAATTTGGGGATGTATTTGTTGATTTAACAATAATAGTATACCTTTTAACTAAACAATGAATAATCTTTAAAATCCTCCTAAAACCACAACACCTAGGAATGTTCAGAACTGGTTAGATAAATTTACATGTGAAAACAGTCATACGTAATTTAGCTCAGAAAATCATCAAGTGAACTGTGGGAAGTACTAATGAGACACGACTTGCAGCAACATGAATGGTATGTAGAGCAACAAACCACAGCGAAAAACAGGCTGCATTCACACTGCAGCATGTAGCTGCACATGTCAGTGAAAGGCTCTGCCCGGGGGAGGCAATGGGGAAAGGCTTGGCAGCAGGGAGTGCTGGAGCCTTTCCCTATTGCCTCCCTACGAGAGCCTTTCCCCACTGGAAAAAGGCTCCAGAAGTTGGGAGAAGCAGGACACTGCACTGCTAAAAGTAGCTTCATTAGAACTTGTTACAAAATGATCCCAGTGCTGCAGTCTTTGTTCAAGCTAACCTCCTCATTGAAGCCAATAGGAATTTTGCCTGCATTGTAGACTGCAGGATCGGGCCCAATATAGGATTAATGTATGAAAAATATATAGAGACCTCTTAAAACTGAAGATGTCACCTTTGGATTAAATGAAAGCTGTATCAGAACACTGAGCTGTGTGTGGCAGGATTTAAAAGGGCACATACAGCAAGTTGCATGCAAAAATTAAATAAGAGCATATGAAAATTCTCCTTTGTGTATAAATAAAAGAACGGATCACATCTTCACAGCTGGAATTTATAGGAAGTTTTAATAGCGGTGACCAGCTATTGCTGCATTGTTACACAATGAAATGGCTTTATACCATATACCATTAACCCCTGAGCAGCCATTTAGCATTTAAGACTACCCAGCAGTCCAATTTTGTTAAGACTATCCAGCTATGCAGTCTTCCGTACATGGGGGAATTCTGACTAGCTGAAGAAAAGAGCAGTTGTTCCTTCATTCTCTCTTTGCTGTGCCATTTGGTGTGCAGTTTACCAAGTAAGCATCTCATCTAGCTTCTACAGTATTTCACCACTTCATGCTTAAGACTTTGCTAAAGTCATCCCAGCTAAAGTCATTGTGGAGGGGCAAGTCACCTGCCAACGGTGGAGAGGCCAGAGATAGGAACAGCAGCTGTAGCATGGGAACTGTTGGTTCTGGTCCTGCAGCAACCCATGTTTTATTCTTTAAATGTTGCACTTGTGACAAGGGAATATAGAGGTTGCCACGCTGGTGGCTCCTCTGGTGTAGGACGCATTGATACTTGGTGAGGTGGGGATAATTGTACTTGAGGAGGGGAGTCAATAGGGTTACTCTTCTTAAGGTGGGTGAACTTGAGAGCTTGTATGAACCCAGGAGAGGTGTTACTGGAAGTATAAAAAGGCCCTGCTTACAGTAATGGAGCTGTTCTTCCTGCTAGCTGCTGTGCCGGCTCACTCGTACCCAGCTATCAGTCAGGAGAGCAGTTAGTACCATACTGCCATGATGCAAGCTAATTTATGCAATAGAAATCTCAGAGTATGTCTACAGTAGAGCAAGTGGTAGAACTTCCAGCTCAAGGAGCCATAGCTACACTAGCTAGCATGGTAAAAATAGAAGCATAGCCACCCCGAGTGTACCTGTGGTCTCAGACAGGATTGTACTCAGAGCAGCCAAGTCCTCCAACTGTTTGTGCCACTGCAGCTACACTTCTGTGTTTAGCACCCTAGAGCTAGTGCAGATATGTCTCCTGGAGCTGGAATGTACACCTTCCCGCTCTAGTGTAGACGTAACCTAAAACATGAGGTGCCAGAGCTTCTTTTTGTTCTTACTATAACCTCTGCTCTTTCTGCTAATATAACCAGTCTCCTTTTTATTTGGTAATGATAAAATATACATTATGGACCAACTTCAGATGTCCTTGCATGGGCAAAACTCTCATTGAAATCAGGGGGAATTTTCACTGTTAGCATTCTTTGCCTATGTTTAATAAGGATGTGTCCTTGCAAATTAAAGATGATATACTAGCTGTATAAACATGATAGCTTTTGCATGGCAGGGAATGGTAAGAAGACGACTGACAAGTCGTTGAGATGGGTTCAGTATATTCTGCATGGTACTGAATTAAGAGCAAGGGAGAATGTGTGATCTATGTGCATGTGGACAAAAATCAGACAGGCTCTGTGATATGTTGCTAAGGGGTGAATGTAAGTGTGTATCCTTAATTGTTCAAGGCAAGAGGTTTTAAAACTAATATAACTTTCCATTGTTCTTGCATATTAAACTTGTGGGGGGGGGACAGAGTATGCTGTGTTCACTCTTTTTCCTATGTTTAGGAGAAAGGGTGGGAATGAGTGCTGTTTGTTTATTTATTTATTTATTTATTTGTTTTGTCAGGCAAATATTCCTTGGTTAATTATGATTAAATCATCATAAACATGCGTGATAATATATTCCCTCCTCAAAATAAAGCTGAACCTATGCCAAAGAAAAAAAGCAGTAGTGATCACTTGACAGCTGTATTGCCCAACTCTGCAGTTCATAGACTCATACAATATGCAGCCTATATTAAATAACTGCAGCCAAATTGTGTGTATTTCATTCTGCACTAGCTACTGTAGGGAATGATACTAATTCTATTTGATCGAGTTTAACTGTGCCAATAATGAGTCAAACAGTAGTATTTATAGGAATGATGCTCTGCTTTTGATAGAATATACAACTGCCCTTTCTTTGGATTCATATTCTTTGCCCTGTGGCAGACAAGAGGTTAATACAATATCTAGTATCACTGGACATCATGTTCATTTCCTTTATTTTGTTTTCATTTTATAATTAAATTACATTGTTCCAAAACCTAGTCCTTGGCTTCTAGTTCTTGCCCCCGAGTTTTATTTTGATTAGCTGTCATTTGATTAGTCATGACTGAAGCAATTGTTAAGTTCTTCCTAATGAATAGACAACTGAAGTTAACTTCACTTAAAACAGTGGTGGCTCTATGTCCAGCAAAAATTCAATGTGTGCATGACGTACCCCAGATCATTCACCCTCCCTATTTAGTTTCTCTACATTCTGCAACTGCTCTGCTTAGTATTCTGATTTTCACCCTTTCCAGTGTCTTCTCTTGCTTATTTGACTGCTTCCTTGTGTGATGCATTCTTGACTCTCCCTTCAACTTCCAACCCTTCTTTAGCTTACTGACCTGTCTACTTGCCCTCTCTGGGATTCTCCATCACTAATGTGTCTCCTTCTTCCGCTCTCCCTTAGAAAAGTCTGAGTACCACCTGGTACTACTATCAGATAAGACAGACAAATGAGGATTTCCAGTAAGTCTACCCAGCCTGCCCTATATATTAATTGCAAGCAAGTTTGCATGCAGTATGAGTATTAGATGACATGATTAAGCAATTCAGAACAAGATAATATGGAACTAAGACTGCTTTACACATTGGGGAGAGGAATAAATAAATAAATGGAGATATCCTATCTGCTAGAACTGGAAGGGACCTTGAAAGGTCATCAAGTCCAGCCCCCTGCCTTCACTAGCAGGACCAAGTACTGATTTTGCCCTAGATCCCTAAGTGGCCCCCTCAAGGATTGAACTCACAACCCTGGGTTTAGCAAGCCAATGCTCAAACCACTGAGCTATCCCTCTTCCCATTATGAATTTGTGTAAGTAGATACATGGGTTTTGTAATAACACTTAGGAATGTACATGACTTTTAGTTGAGAGTTCTCTGTAACAAGTACCATTTATTTGAATAGCTGTAAGAGTGTGCTTGGTGCTATGCAAAACCAAAGGTGAAGAAGAGCTTACAATGTGAAAAATAGACACTCAGGACAATGCATTGGGAATCCCAGAGTTGGGATTAATTTAGCTTTTGTTTTTGTAGTTCCTTCATTAAAATGATAAATTATCTTCTTATGGGCATCCTAGGAGTTTTTGGTGGGATTATTTTTCTTCTCCTGTAGAAATGTATGGAACATTTTGTTGTGGGGTGTACAGGCTGTTAGGAATCAAAGAATGTTAGACTAGAACTCAGGCAGTGATAGAGAAAGTAGAGGCAATAATCAGACATTCTGCTGAGTCTAATTAGATGAAGTTGTTTTTCTTTCTTCTAAATTATAATTACACTGAATAATAATTTAATAATCAGGATTAAAAGGTTATATAATCTCACATGGAGTCCAATCATGTACTCCTATGTAGGCCAAGCTCCCTTTTAAAATCAGGGAATCTTTGGGTCTGATCCAAAGCTTTTTGAAATCAGTGGGAGCCTCTCCACTGTCTTCAGTCTGCTTTGGATCAGGCCTTTTTTCAGCAAGGAAATGTGTACTTTTGTTCACCCTTTTACTCCCATTTTCCTTTGAAAGTTACTTCGACATTCTCTGTTCCTTTGCTCTTCATAACAGTTTAGAAAACATACATTATTCCCAGTGGATTTGTGTTTTTAAGTAGGAAAATTTTAGAGATTAGATTTTCCTAGTTGATGAAAAACCATATATTTCAGACAATGCTTCCTTTTGTTGTTCATTTCTGTGAGCCAGGGCTGGCGCAACCCATTAGGCGACCTAGGCGGTCGCCTAGGGTACTAACATTTGGGGGGCGGTGACCACAGTGGCCGGCGGTCGTCATCAGTATTTCGGGCGCGGGACCTTCCGCTGCCTCTGTCAGGGGCGGCATTTTGGGGGCAGGACCTTCTGCCATCTACGGTGGCAAAAAAGCTGGTGGCGCTCCTGCTGTGAGCTGTGTGGCTTTGGAAAGAAGGTAGGAGAAGAAGTGAGCATGTTCTTTCTGGCACAGAGGTGTTTCTGTTGTAGTTGTTCTACTTGCAGTGTGCAAAATGAGGGCCACTCCTGGAATGCCTGATTTCAGTGAAAGATGGGGGTCTTCAATGCCTGCAGCAACAAGCCTTAAAATAACTACCGGTCTGTCTAGGTTTTTATCACCATGGTATCTAATCGCCTTCCACGATAAGTACATACTAAGGCTGGTTTTGCGCCCAGCCCTGCAATATTTAATGAGCTTCGTCAGTGACTTCAGCGGAAGCAAAGCTGGTCCCAGAATCAGAGTTCAAGTTACATACAACCTACTGAGTGATTTGTTTGGTGCATTACACATCATTCTATGCTCAGTTGTTTATTAGATATGGGCAGGATAGGTAGTTGGAATGATACAAGAACTGCTCCCGAAACCTGTGCCAAAAACTAGTGGGGTTTAGAAAACTTTAGCCAACTTACCTTTCTCACTGATTTTCATTTTCCTGCCAGAAACGGAAGTGCAGGAATATCCCTTTTCTCATAAAGTGTGCAGTTTAGGAGCCCCATCCTGCATGATTCTAAACATATTCGATTCCCGAGTCACTGATCTCCTGTCACTCTCTCAAGTGTCAGAGAGATGGATGCACCGCACCTGTCAAGATCTAGCCCAGTGGTTCTCAAACTTTTGTACTGGTGACCCCTTTCACATAGCAAGTCTCTGAGTGTGACCCCCCTTATAAATTAAAAACACCTTTTTATATATTTAACACCATTATAAATGCTGGAAGCAAAGCAGGGTTTGGCATGGAGGCTGACAGCTCATGACTCCCCCCAGGACCTCACAACCTCCTGATCTAGCCCTTGATTTATATTATTAAATCCAAGTCTGATCAAACAGAATTCTGTGATGCAAGAGGAACGTATGTGAGTCAGACATGTTTTAGAGAGAAAGTGAGCCAGGCAAAACCAGCTAAACATAGTGCTCTTCTGAGAACAGCCTGGTCCCAGGTACCCAAGGAGAGGGTCTTCCAACTGTTCTCCCCTAAGCAAATACAAGTGTGAAGACTGAGAACAACACTTAGACATTGCTTGCAGCTGCGGCATGTTGTTCGCAGTCTTGAGTCTTACACAACATGCTTTCATCTGAGTTCTTGTAATTACCAACTAGAGAAATACTGTGTATAATATCGCTCTCATGACTATGTAGAAATCCTGCATGACCGTCTAGATGGAACAATGTAGCATGCGATCTGAAGAACAGGTGGCCAACGATGTAGGAAACTCTAAACTATGTAGAAGTGTTACTCAGCCATGTTCTATGCACTTGAAACTACAAACCATTTTCTTCTGTACACCTCAGTTCACTTTGCTGTATGATATTGCAGATCTTATTTTGCTTTTAAGAAAACTGTATCCACGTTGTTAAATAAAACATCCTGAAATAATACTGTTCTGACCATATCTGAAGAGCATAAGTCATCAAGTCCTTAAATGAAGATCTGGTGGTCATGATTTACTTGTTCTATATCTGTATTAAGTTGTCTTAAATTTATTGTCAATATCCAAATGGTTCTAATGTTTAGAATCATAAAAACATCCTGTTGTCAGTATGAATGAGATATCCCCTACCATTTTGGTCATTAGCTACTTTTGGTTGCTTTGATTTAGATGCCTACTTATGGACTCAGATGCCTAATTTTAAACAAACACTTTTGAATATTTTGACTTTAAACATTTGCTAATATATAATAATAATAGTACTTAGGGCTTATACAGCACTTTTCATCTATAGATCTCAAAGTGCTTTACAAAGGAGGTAAATATCATTATTCCCATTTTACAGATATGAATTGTAATGCAATATACAGTGTAATACTGAAAGTTATACTTTGTTCATATGTTGGTATTACAAAATCTCAATTTTCAAGAGACTTTAGTTAATCTAGCAATATGTAAGCCCCTGCTGAAAAATAGTTTACCGTTTCTATTTGGCTTTATATTGGTTTAACATCAGAAGAACTGTACTATCTAAATTTTAAAGGCCAGATGTTCAGTCCCAGACCAATTTTTGCACATTCAGCTGATAACATGACCAAATGTGAGCATCCAAATAATCAGTTATACTTGCAAATGCAGGTTTTGTCTGCACATGCAAATTGGGAGCATAGAAATAGAGTTTGCCTTCAAGCAGGTTAAACATCTTGTTTAAATATTAAACAGTGAAGACATTCTTTTTTAGACTCATATTACAGCAAGCTGGAAACTGATTTTATAATAGTTGATGCTTTATTTCATATTTAACAAAATAAAAAGTGCTTTTCATCATGTGGAATTTCAGAGCTCCATGCTAAGAGAATGGGTAGTTTTCCATTCAGTTGTAAAGCTGATGTGGTATCTTTCTGTTAAATCTCTAGAGTAGTTACTGACAGTAGTTTATAATTAAAACCAAAAATCACTTGTTTAATTTTCAGGGGCCAAGAGGTCTAGATGGTCCTCCAGGAGAACAAGGGACACAAGGTATTAAGGTAATTATTTATTTGTTTTGTTCAATACTGCAGAGGATGCTTATACAGCACACAGTCTTGACTGATGGAAAAGAAAAGAGGGGGGGGAAGTAAAGGGCACTATGAAATAGTTTTGAGTTTGCTATTAATCCAGTGAGGGACTCACAATTTTCTGTTTCATTGAGGTTCTTATTTTTATGTATATAGTAGACATGTGGATCTGAATTCTGGTCTCATTCACACTGGAGTTAATCCATAGTAGATGCATCAATTTAAGTGAAGTTACTCTACATTTATACTGGTGTAAATGATGGCACAATTTGGCCCATGGTAATTTTCTTTTTCCACATGTGTAGTTTTCTGTGTGGCAAATCTAGTAAATTCGTACTGAACTCATTCATCATTGGTTATTTGTCAGGGAGAAAGAGGTGATCCAGGGAAAAAAGGTGTTCATGGACTTATTGTAAGTATCAGAGATGTTCTGGGCATTAGGCACTAATACCTACACTAGGAATTTTTGCCTGACATTTATTTGGAATTTATCTGACATCAGCATTCTCTTTTAATAATTTTATTTGACCAGGGCAAGGCTGGAAACCCTGGAGAAAGGGGTGATTCAGGAGTGCCAGTAAGTACTGAAAACTTATAGCCCTGCTACAAAAAACAAAACAAAACCTTGCTTCACACTCAAATGCAAGGGAAATTATTTTCTTTATACCAGTCATTGAGGTCTGAGAATAATGGTTTGCATTTACTTTGTATAGAACCTTTCATCTGAGGACCTTAAGGCATATAAGTAACATCAATTTACAAAGCATCAGAATTCCTCTGTGGCATTATATCTGAGTTTTACAGATGGGTAAATTAAGGCACAGATGGTAGAGTGACATGCTCAAGGTCAAACAGTGGCAGATACGGGAATGAAACCCAGTAATCCTGTCTATTATTAGAAATGTAATCTTTCAGGTGAAACACTGTCTATAGGATGTAATTTAAAAGAACATTGCAGCAGAAGAAATCACAATTGCATAATTGTGGGAGACAGCTAGAAGTTGCCATGCACATTGGAGTAGTTTTATCGCCATTTTTAGAGGAGACAGACGCTATGGTATAGAAGAAATGTTACTATTATACCTTTTACCGTAGAGTTATGTGATCATTGCAGGGATAAAATGTATATCTCATAAACATAACTGGAACTCTATGTTAGGACATCTTTCCTTTGAACTGTATACCAATAAAAAAGCTTTTCCATAAGAGAACAAAGCTCAACCTTCTGTGAAAATCACACATTTTCCTATAGTAATATGTTTAACAGACCAGTCACACTATAGTGACTTTTCAAGAGTGGGAAGCTAATAGAAAAGAAGTAAGGAAAACAAAGGCAAGAGAATAATACCAATCATATTACCAATGCAATGCTGTACTTAAGACTAATAATGTTGGTTGCCATTTTAATCAGGGCCACTTCATAGCTTTGCCTGTTTGTCTAGAGAATTTGGAAGTTTGCTGCCCCTGTCAGTTGTTCCACAGAGTAATATGTGTACCACCTCACACCATTCACTTGGAAGGCGTATGAAACCACATTGGTTGCTGACAAGTAGAGAGGTCATATAGAAAACACACTGAAGAAATGGCATCCCTCAATAAGAGAAGGAAAATAATGGCAAGGAAGATACCTTGCCCCACCTCTCTTCAGTCGCTGAGCAACTCTCTATTTAAATCCAGTGTTAGGTTCAAAACAATTTGGAATCTCCCATAGTTGTAAACCACATCCTTTTTCAGGTGAGATGTAAAACTGAGGTCCTGACCACTCGTGGTTGTGAAGGACCGCATGGCATTTTTTGCCAGAGTAGAAATTGCCCCTTCAGTTTCAGTCAGGTATGGTATTCTTCATTGTTTCCTGTTCTACACTGTTGCCTGGTATTGCTGCAGTCATTCAAACCAGAAGTCACTTTAGTGCCAGGTGACCTTTATCTATACAGTAGATGTAATTCAGTTTATTTGTGGAGTTCTTGAGGCTCCACTGGGATGAAAGGTGCTAAATAAATTCAAGATATTATTCTCTTGATAGTCCCTTTTACTTCTCTTGGTGATAGTCTTTAATTCCACTGCAGTGCACAGGTGCTGGAAATGGGGGTGCTGCCGTACTCCCTGGCTTGAAGTGGTTTCTATCATATAAAGGGTTCACAGTTTGGTTCAATGACTCTCAGCACCCCTACTATACAAATTCTTCCAGCACCCCTGCTGCAGTGGAAACCCCCATTTCTGATGTATTAATCTGTGAACTACAGCTGATTCTGCAGGGTAGGTTGGCCCAAGGGTTCTATTTTATATAGCTGCACTTAAGTCTAAATTTTGGTTCAGACTCAATAAACACACTGAGTATTTGACTCTACTTGCCTTTATTTAGCTCACTCTAGTTCATATCTGCATAAATGACTCCGATTACAACCTCAAAGTGGATTTTGACTGACAAACTGAGTGTGGCCTCACAAAACTCCCGTGTACAATATACCCACTTCTGAGATTACAACTGCTGGGCACCACCGCACTGGATGAAAAGATGGGTTAATCTGCCAAACAGGTCAAAGAAATAGCTAAGGAAGTCCCATGAGTGACTAAGCAGACTATGTCTCATTCCCCAGGCAGGCAATAAAGCTGGCTAGACAATAGGGCAGGAATGTATCTTGCTCCTACTGCTGCAGCACAATGAATGCTGCCTCTTGCTTTCTACCATCTCTTCTGTTTTTTTCTTTCCTGTTCCCAAGGACCTTTAATGAATTTGAGGGGCATTTTCACTTGAGTGATCTGTGACAGACAAAAAATAATGTATAGTTGAGAGCTCTGTGTTTCATTTCTTCACAGACTCTGGTGTTTATACCAAAGGAACAAATAGAGCAAAACACCTTTAGGTTGAAGAAAGATTGTCTGTAGGAACAAGAAACGTTATTGCAGATTGTTAAAGGTTGCCATTGTGCTTCTATATCTCCTTTTCATGGATGGAAATGGGGTTCTGTGAAACAGTTGAGCAGAACTTGACTGTGTTGCTATGGTGTAAAGCCTCGGACTTGTCCAATTAATCCCACATATACTGTTTGAGGGACAAAGAGTCCCTTAACACTGTTGTTAGGTCACGTGTGAACCGCAGGAGTCTGTTAAGATTTTAAATGACAAATCAGCAAACCAGCCACCCCTAAGTAAATGAAGCACAAGCAGGCGTCAGCTCACTCATGAATCACAAGAGCTGACGTAATAACACAGATCACATCGGAGAAGGCTAAGCACATTTCTAGAGCGATGTTTTGAGGGAGTTGCTGGGTGTACAGAAGTGGGAAGGAAGTGGCTTTTTACAGAATTTGAAACAGATCTTTTTCCTATTCGTTTTGTTTCTCTTAGGGCTTGCCCGGACCTCCTGGAAACATGGGTGACAGAGGCCCTGTGGGAGAGCCAGTAAGTTGATCACCATACTTTCCTGATAAGGCTTTTTATATATTGTACTTAATTCCCTGATAACTCGACTTCCACTCTATCAAGGTTTGGAACTCTCACTACTTTTGGAAACTGCGCCAAGACTACTTTGGAACAGATTCTGCAGCCCTTTCTTTGGGTAGCTCAACATGAGTAACAGTGGCAGAATCTACTCCATTATATTATGTGGCTTCACACTGCTTAGAGACAGACATACTATATGACGTAGTATGTAAATAGAACTTTAAATGTAGACATTGATGGTTTCCTTGTTATTTTCAGCCAAGTTTTATGCTAGTTATTCTGGAACCGCATATACTTGGCAGGTTACTGCTCTAACAAAAAAGAGTCTGTTTTAATAAACCTCAGGCATTCTTTTCCTGAATGGTTTGCTGTTCTTATTTTTATTATTACAAAGCCCCACACACTTTTATGTTGCTAATACTATAACAAAAGACCATATAGAGAGGCAGTAACTATATACAATGGGCTGGAAGGTATAAACACGGCAAGAATGCTGTTATATCAACAACTCTAAAGCCAAGTCGCAAGTTTATAAATATAATGTAGTAGTGTGTGTTTTCGTGGTGGGACTCGCTATAAGGCTGCCATTTTATTTCGCAAAACATAAAAACTTATCAAATAACTTTTTATATTTTATTTTTGTTGCCTATGAAAAAATTACTTCTTGTAGAAAATGGCATAGAAGTACATTGTTGATATAATCTTAAGATTTACAGTATACTGTATTCCTTTAAGTGCTGAACTGATGCCTATAAATCCATAGAATGACATGGATTCCTTCAGGTGGTCATTACATAATTATTTGGGCGAAAACAGTGGAAAAGTCTGACAGCCTAAGATAAATTATTTAAGTAAATTGCCTTTGATACATTTTAATCTGCATATTCTAACTCACTTCCTGCTAGAAGTAGATAGCTAGCTTATAAAAACAAATATATTCCACTTTATAGAAAATCTCCACTAAGCGTTGTATATTCTAATGTTTATTATTATTAGTTTGGATCCCCTTCATTGTGTGTCTTTCATCTAATCTAATCTAGTCTAACTCGCCTACCTGCCTAGGCAATTTATACTTTGCTCCAATCTGTGGTATCTGAGAGCCTTACAAATTCTAAATCATAGTATGTATGTTCATCCTCCCACTACACTGTCAGCATGAGCCTGATTTTCATGTTTATATATGGGCCAGCAAGCACACTTATGTAATCTAAAGACACCTACTCTACTTTAGTCAATCTACATTTCTACTCTGCTGATCATTGTAGCATCTATGAGTGAAATGCAGCAAGTAAGAAAAGTCTCAATTGTGGCCAGGAGCTAACTATTTGCATGTTATGTCAGACATTTAAGTGGATTTGGTTGGGAAATTGTGTGTATAGTTTCAAAGAGGGCTAAGTAAATGACACAGGATATTGCAAAATAAAAGGTTTTTTCTGAGGATTTATCCAAGCAGTCTGCCATCTTCCTCAGTCAGTTGGTTGGTGCATGTAAGGTAGCTTCAGAGGCCTTGTCACTGGCTTCTCTGCAAAAAGCAAGGAAATATTTTTAGAGAAAAATCCTTAAACTGTTAAGTTTATTTAGCAATTTAATTTAGTTTAATGTAAAGTAAATGATTCATTTCACCTATGTGTCAGACATCTGTTAGTACAGTAATTGGTTACAAACTGTCTTTTGATTAGAATTGAAAGCGGTCTCAGCATTATTCAAAATGTTCCTGGATTTGTTTGGCTTCTGGTGTTCCACGGGAGTCATGGGGGAGAGGTATATTGCCAAGCCAGAAGTCTGAGCTCCGTGGGAATAGTGTGGAGATATTTGGCTCCTAAATCAGACTTAAGCTTTATGACAGTAAAGCTGAGGAAGACTACAGAGGTGCTGCAAGCCAAAACCAAAGCAATCCTGGTTCAGCCTGGGATAGATCCCTAATGGTGTATTCATTGCAGTTCTTAGTTGTTGATTGTACTTAGATGACATTGCTGAGCAATGTAGGGATACCCCGTTGAAATCTTCCCAGCAATATCTAATTAGCTCTAGTGCCGGAAAAGAGGAAGAGGCTGCTTTAATTAATATTAGCAAGTCCACAGGAACAAGAAGACCACATGCACAATCCATGTCCTGAGAAGGTGAACAGGGAATTTAGCTGCTTGGAAGGCTTATACTGCACATATAGATGTAGCACCAAAAATCTTGTTTACTTTAGCATTGAATGGGGTTTCTTTAAAACACAGACGGGTCCAGACCACAGTGTTCAGGTCTGGATCTGATTCTGAATGTCCCCAGAGATCGGGGATGGCTACATCCAGGGTTTTGGTTTGTCCTGTTATAGAACGTGGGCCAAGGGGTGGAGTTCTTAGATGTCTAGAAGCTAACTGACAGGTTTCAGAGTAGCAGCCGTGTTAGTCTGTATCCGCAAAAAGAACAGGAGTACTTGTGGCACCTTAGAGACTAACAAATTTATTAGAGCATAAGCTTTCGTGGGCTACAACCCACTTCTTCGGATGCATATAGAGTGGAACATATATTGAGGAGATATATATACACACATACAGAGAGCATGAACAGGTGGGAGTTGTCTTACCAACTCTGAAAGGCCAATTAAGTAAGAATTCTTTTAAGAATTAATGGACACAAATCTGACATCAGGAATCATAATACTCAAAAACCAGTGGGAGAACACTTTAACCTGTCTGGCCATTCAATGACAGACCTGCGGGTGGCCATCTTACAACAGAAAAACTTCGAAAACAGACTCCAAGGAGAGACTGCTGAGCTGGAATTGATATGCAAACTAGATACAATCAACTCAGGATTGAATAAGGACTGGGAATGGCTGAACCATTACAAA